GTTCTTTTTATCTAAGATAAAAAAGTTAGTCTCACGAGCGGGATTCGAACCCACGACTTCGGCTCTATACGCCGCTGATCTGACCATTTAAGCTTATATATGACTATTTGGTTAGAGCAGCGGCGTATTGGGCCGAAGAACGTGGGTTCGAATCCCTTCACCAACTTTTTCATCTCAACCAAGACTTTAGATAACAAGTATAATTAATACCGTCAATTATGACTTCTAAACATATATGGATTAATATAAAAAATTATAGTCGTATTAATAAGGTAAATTCATTAAGAAATATGCTATTCGCTTACATTTTATTCAAATAATTCCTGCCGATCATCATCAGTTTATTATCGCTGTTAGCCTTTCGTGGATCCAAGCTTTACATAATCGTTGTTCGATGCCCGTTTCGTTGGACTTGATCATAATCTTGTCCTTCACATTCACTTCTCGTTCTTTGTCAGTCCTTTATTCTACTTGCATTTGACCTTCTTAATTCGTTTTTTAAATGTTCATTTTGTATTTATGTGTTTTTTAAGTTTTGGTCTGATGAAAATTATTGGACTCAATGATATAGAACAGTTGAAATATTTCTGCGATTCGCTTTACCGCGATGTCCTTATCGGTATTTCAAGTCGTTCTTGACAGTAATCGATCCTGACTGCCGGAAAGTTTAAACGTCATAATACCTCCTAGACTACAATCTATAATAATACATGCCGGAAAGCAAGGGTTGAATACTTACTAGCAGTTAAATTAAGCACATGGTGGAGAGACACGTGATTCGGTGGCGTGGAGGGTGCATCGATTTTGCTCATGAGGGCCACCCCGATTCGCCGTGCAACCATCCCCTTCCGCTCATGCACGCGATTTTTCTCAAAGTCGGAAGCGAGCCCCTCCTTTATCGCTAATTTCCGGTCGTTAACCGATTTTTTGGTGGCGGGATATTCGCGGGATGTTGCGATTTGTGACGATTGGTTATCGCGTCGCCTGCCGTGTTTGTGGGCTAAGAATAGCCCGGATCCAATTATGTACTCTACGCTCAAGGACCTTCATTATCTCTCTACTCTTTCGAGGTGTATTTATTTCGTTGTTACATCGTGCATTTTTCAATCGGTTGTACTTACTATAAAATATTTATAAGAACATTTGTTGTACATGTAAGTGTCGGGCATAAAATGTATAGAGTATTATACGGAAGAAACTGGTCCTTTTATGTTTGACGGAATATTTAATTTGTTTGTCTTGGCCGACCTATGTTCTGTTTTTATCTGTCACACGTTTTACATCTTTTCACAGTGTTTAGTCCAATTATGGTAAATAAGTCAAATCCAGCGCTTGATGAAATGCGTCTGACACACCAAAACAATAACAAGACTAGAGTAGATAAAATTTCAGTTTCTTCTACTTGAAAATACCAACCCGATGATCGTGTGATTGATGTTGATCGTGTTCCGTCTGCGGGCGGATGTATACCGTTCACTTTAGCGGGTTCATCTGTTCTCGCTAATTTACGTATCACTCACACGCGTTTCACTAGTTAGAATCTGTGTGAAGAAGGCGTGAAGCCGAAACTCAAATGAACGAACCACCAGGTAGAATAAATTAACCCGGCAAAGTGATTATCAGTAGTTCATCAGTAAGGTCGTTTCACTTTTTTTATAAATATAATCATGTTTTAAAATTTATTTAAGGAAATCGTATTTTTCCACTAAACCTAGTAACCTAATATTATAGTGCGAGCCTTCACGGAACTCTAGTAGATCTGCAACCGGTTTTGGAATCTTTCTCACGGAGTAGATTTCACACCGTTATGAGTTTGTTCCGCGCAGTTTGCGACCATGGCTACAGCGGGCTATTAAAGCCAGGCTTGATCGAGTTTTCCCCCTGAAGAATATTTTAATATACAAATTTGCTCATTCGAGCCACTTTCAAGGAGGTTTGTCTATATTTTGTTAGAGTGTTATTTTGAATTTGAACGATTTCACTAAGTTCTGGCACATATATTCTAAAATGTTGGAAATTTAAGCCATCGCCAGCCCCCTGCGTGTTTGTACTTCTTTTCCTGGTCTTTCACGCGTCCTTTTTAACCCACAGCTGACTGGCACGTAATTCTTAACTATTGAACGATTTTTAGTAAAACAAACTGTTTTAATTAATTTGTTATGCTGTTGCAACTTTAAATGTTTATAATTGCTGTCAACTTCAATCAGATCGCTACCCACCACTCGCCCCGTTGAAGATAGCCAATAATTGCCCAATTACACCCCGCTTTCGCCAGGCATCCGAACGGTGAAAACTAATCGAATTTCGTGGTTTTTTCAGCGGCAGGAGAAAACTATAAAACTGAAAATGCGATTACGGAGAAAAACAGTAAAAACGAAAGTTCTCCCTGGCAAGGGAAAAGTGTCAAAGTAATTAAGGGAGGAAAACAACTAACTGTGCACCTGGATTACCTGATCCACGTCTGATCTCGAACCTTCCGCCGACCTCAACGCCGATTCAATTACCTCGCCTCAACAAATTCTTTTCTTTTTATATGTGTAATTCGAAACTGGGTAATGGCTCGCATGGATTTTAATGGGACGTTTGAAATGCTTTTTATGACATATTTTATACTGGAGATTTTTTTCGTAGTGAAATTTTACAACTTCATAAAATTCTGATCGCGTTTAACTTAGTTTGAACGACTCATTTATAAATTTTAATGTAAAACAGATCCATCTTTTTTTCTTTTGGATCTAATATTTACATCTCTGGCTAAATAGTTTACAGTTAGCACATAATGTCATCACAATATTATTTGCTGTCTTGGAAAAAAATATTCGTGTAGAATTGATCTATTTCTTCTCATGATTTTTTTTACAGTATTGATTATTGAAATTGTCAATAAAATAATTGCGGTTTTTCGGTTAAAATCAGTTTTCATTTATCCAGTTACGGACAATAATATTGAGGATGCAACTCTTTACTTTTACCCCAGGTTATTTTGCTTTATTTCACTGAAAACTCGATAAGGCTAAATAATAATTGGAAAATACACATTATTATTAAATAATGTATCTATAAATTTAAAAAATTGAAACTACAATCCAAAGGTGTTTGTTTATTAAGATTGTTTTCAATTGACCGGAACGCTTTGCTGCTTTACACACGCCGTGTCCTGGAGAATATTTAATATTGGGTGGCGAAGTCCCCCTTCAAAGTACGCCGATTTATCCACGCCACTAAAGAAATATGCGGGGTTTGCATTGTCTCGGATGAAAAAAAAGTCCCGTACATATTCAGTAATACCGGCCACTTTCATTTAATAGCACGTTTTGTTGTTCCTTGAAAGCTCACCAAATTGTGAATTTCATTGATGTATATATAGGAAATAATTAACGATAAATACTTGAAATAAAGCGAAAGCAAGACTGGAAATCATTTCAACTTATTCTCGCATGCTCCCTGAGCAATTAAGTGAGGAAAAATCTAGTACAACGTATCTGTTGATCTATTAGCTTCATCCCGTTCTAATAAATGAACTGTGAAAGTGCTTCAAGCCTCGCCGTTCATGGGAACACCGATGAAAACCCGCAATAGTAAAGAACACAAAATGAAACACATAGGAAATCATATTTTCATAACTGAAAACTGAAAATTTCAATATTGAAGTTAATACATATTGCTTAATAGTTTAAATTAACCAGAGGAGTAACTTTACATTTGGACGATTGTCGAAACGAATCTGAAAATATTTTACTTATGTTGACCATGTAATCCACATTTAACACATTAGAGGGATAGTAACTTAACTTATGCTGCACTTTCTTATCGTTTTTTGTGCCGTAACAGTCCAATCTGTACCATAGCTGCCTAGGTACTATGCGGTCAAATTTGTAACAGAACGTTTCGTTTGAATCCCATAACATTTGATTGTCCTCCTTAGTCAAAGCTTCATTAAACAATAATTCAAATAGCCACGAGGTTGTGCTGCGTCCTCGACATATACTTTCCAAATTTGGCAATGTAAAAAAAAAAGAAGAAATGCCTGGATTTGATGACTGATTCTTTGGGATAATCCTGTTTAAGGTGTATTTATATATTTTAGTAGTGTCTGCTTATCAGAATTGATAGTTTAAGTAAATAAAACACAAAATTTTTTTTCATGTCCAGATGATTTCCTAAGGGATAGAATTTCAAAAAATCCTTTCTTAGCGGCGTTGAGATTTAGTGGTTTGTTCTGTGCGTAGTCTCAGACACTCTGTCGACATGTTGAAAGTTTTACTTAAAATATGTGATCTCCCTTATCCAGCCAAAAATGCTCGCTCTTTCTTAGATAATAATAAAGATAAGGCTTGTCTCATGGAAATTCATGGAAAAACTAATTTTATTTTTAGTTTCGGATAATTGAATGTGCGTATATCTGACGTTCGTATATCGCCGCTCCACATTATTGCATTTCGTTGGCAATGTACAGATTTTTATGGGATTATCACACCTCTTTTCGTTGTATGTGTTCACGCACATTGTCATGAAAGTTTAACACAGAACAAATTGGTTTTAGCTTCTTCCTTCTTCGTGTGTACAGAAGATGCGTATAAAGCCAGGCAGACACAATCCAGATCCCAAGGGGTGGAAAGGCTGATGGACTCTTTAAAAAAACCCCACCCGGTCGTGAATAATTGAAAGATGGAATCGTGAGGCTTAGAGGGCTACAAGACATTTCTTTGATTCATGTACACAACTGTGAGACTTAAGTGCGAACATGTCCTGTTCCCTTTCCCTTCGTAATTCGCTTTCTCTCCGTTTTAGAAAAACGCCCAATAAATTTTGGTTGTAACGATTCTTCAGAACTTGGCGACTTCGGTTTCAAGGACAAACAAATTGCCTCTGACTTCAGGGAAATCTGTTGATAAAATCCTTCCCGGGAGATGAGAAAACAGTGCATTTTCCCTTTATATTTTATCTTAACCTTATTTATTATAAAATTTATACCTAACCAAGTTTTTTTCTAATTGCAGGTGCAGAAATCAACGTTAGTCGCTCTCAAAACGGTAAGTTTTTTTGTTTAATCCACTTGTGACCGCTGTGTCCCACACCCTTGAAAGCGAGTAAACACCGGATATTCAATTACTTCTCTCCACAAATTGAGCACTAACACCTTGCACTTCGATTTAAAAAATCGCATATGCTCGATTTTCCAACATAAATTAACTTTCTCAAACAGTCCGTACTTAATTACGTCCCTACACGTCCGAATAAAACTTAGGTCATTAGTGATTATTCGGAGATCGTGAGATGCGGTCTGGTGTGACGTAGGTTTTAGAAAAACATTTTCTTTATCGCGCCAACATTTCAATCTTTATTAAGATCATCTTCAGGGATCAAAGTGTTGGTTTTCCGTGTTGATGTGTTATTCTTATCTGTCATGGGCACTCTCAACACGACATAAGAAAGACACATCTACACGGAAAACAAACACTTTGATCCCTGAAGATGAGCTCATTAAAGATCGAAACGTTGGCGCGATAAAGAAAATGTTTTTCTAAAACCCTACGTCACACCAGACCGCATCTCCCGTTCAACGAATAATCCTTAACTAACGGTCAATAAATACCACACATTAGATCATTTGTGTTCAAGGTTACTAACGGGCCAGTTCTTACCTTCCGTCTCTTATCAGTTGCGAAAAAATGCGTCAAATGATTCCTCTTTTTTGTAAATGATGTGTCATTTGATTCAAGGCAATGGGATTAAAGAGATGCAAGTTCGACCTTGTGTTACGTGTACTTTCAGAAGTCTTACGACTCGTGATGGGAAGGTGGCCTTCTGTGAGTCAATCTGCTCACGGTCTTTCGAGGATAATCCGTGAGCTCATTGCCGGTCATCATCCGCACAAATTTACCGTTATATTCTGCTAATATTAAGAAAAAATTCATATGATGTAGGCTTTGCTTAGTGGAAGAAATCCATATTTGGATCACTGTGAATAACCTTAATTAGTCAAGAAAACTTATATATATAAAACAAAACCATTAACATTTTACCAAGACTGTAGTAGACGTTACTGCAACAATTTTTGATATATAAAGCGGAATTGTCTGGTTGCCCTAAGCCATCCAATATTCAGCATATCCCACCCAACCTTAGACAAATTGACAACCCTCCTTCTACGTCTCTAACCTGACTGTCCACAACAACCTCGTCCTTCCTTGTTTCAACTAATTGATCACGCTTCAAAAAGTTCCACACCGATCTCTTTCGGAACTCTTCCTAACCCTACTATTGAAGCCTATCTTCTCAGAACAATAACTTAACAGAACATTTGGACAATTACGAAGACGTTTTAGGGCAGAAATTTCTTTTGACCGACCATACTCTAACACAAGACATTACCGGATCTATTTTGGACATACCGAGTGGAACTGTGTGGTAAATTAAATTTTAATTTAAAAAAGATATATTGAGATTTATTGCTCTCGGATTAAATTGTTTATGAAAGTGCGTCCACAAATACAAACTTGATGAAATTAATGTTTGACAATCCAAACGTAAACAAGAGTTGATTTGTTGACCTTTGAGGCCTTCAATTAATCCCAAAAAAGATTGAAATGTTGCAATACATAATTAACACTTATCTATCACTGTAAAATTTAGTTTTACGTCTTTCGTTTTTCTGTCGAAATCGAAAAAAAGTCTCGTAAATTACAAGAAAAATTGGATATTGATTCTGCTGTTGGTAGAAGCGGTCCAAAATTTGAATTGCGTTTTAATGTTCAAATCGAAAGCGCCCTAATTAATCGCTGTTATTTGTCCGTACCATGAGCAAGTAATTTGTTGTCAATTAAAATTATAAATAAATAAATTGTTGATGGGTTGAAGAATTTGGGCAAGATTTCATTTTTCCTAAAACCATGTTTCTAATTTTTGTGAATAACTTGAAAACAGTTTCGCCAAATTAAAAACCGATTGCACCGTTGATTTCAGCGTCAAAAAATCATGCAAAACGTGTACTACTTCGAGATAGATCAAAATTTTGCCTCATTAAAAGTAGACAAAAAAGTTGTCTCCGACTTTTTAGCTGTAAAAAAAATGGGGGGGGGACAAAAGTTCGCAGAACTCACCCTGAACGTGAGAATCATCCCATTATCCCTCATTCATAAACAGTTAACTTTGGGATTAAATGTACTTTTGCGTCTGTTTTTGGTCTCTCTCTCACTCTCACTCTCTCTCTCTCTCTCTCTCTCTCTCTCTCTCTCTCTCTCTCGCGCGCGCGCGCTTTCTTTTTTTTTCTCTCTCTATCTATCTATCTTTATGTCTATCTCTCATTTGTTTCTCCTCAAACATTTATTTTGTTTTTAAAATAATTTGCATTTGACAATCATAAGTAAACGTTTATTGGTGTTTCTTCCCCCTCTCTCTCACTCACTCACTCACCTAATGGCAGCCGAATTCTCTCTTTGTTTTAAAAATTGTTTAGAGATCGTAACGTGTTTAAAATAACAAATTATATAAATATAGGTTAGGCGTAAAATAGGTACAGGTTCCTTTATTTTTCTAATTAAAATAAGTACAGGCTTATTTTAATTAAAATTGAAGGATACATTAATTTAAGTGGGCGGTTTTGTTTAAATGCGCGTAATATTTCCTTTGCTCTCAATGATTTGATTACTTGCTCGATGTATGTATGGGCATTTGCGAGATCGTTATTGCCATGTTGTCGCTAAGGGAGGCTGGCTTTCATCCCCTTCCATTCCTTCAGCCGAGGACTTGAGGAAAATTGCCTCGCCCGCAAGGATTACCCGGGGTTTTTAATCCTCCTCCAGGTGAATGAACAACTTCCATAAAGACCAGAACGGGCCAAAGGAATCGGGGTGGAATAATCGGGCCGGGGTCGAGTCGTCTTCCGCCAAAATCAAGAAGGAGATTTTTATATTTCGATTCATACAAATACGGGATAAAAGTGTTTCAAGGAAATTCCTTTGATCGTGAGAAAACGATCTTCATATTTACTCCTTAATTTAATTTTTATTTTCATAAGTTAAAGCTCTGTAGCTTTTAATTGGCTTCTTTTCCATCACAATGCCATTAGCAATCTTAATTTTACCAGTTCGCCTGTTTCAGAAACAGTTAATCATTTGACTTTAATTTTATAAATAGGGGCGTTGCAAACAGTTTTATTTCCATTGGAAAAGTATCCAAGCACTCTGCGTACTTAGAGCCCAAGGATAATGGACTTGTAACGTTACGCTCATTTAGACTCGTCAAAGTAGGGAAACATGTTACAACTCTTTCTCCTTTATGTACATCGTTTCCGAAATTTTAATCTATATAAAATTAACAATATATCAACAATAATATACAAACTTAGGAGGGTCTGTAATTTGTATACTCAGATAACTAGTTTGTTAGAACGATTGACTTAGCGGTATTGCCTCTGTTCATTTTGGTCCGCGTTTTCTCGCTCTGTGTTCGGCTGGAGGCTTTCCATTTGCTTTTAGTGAACGTTTGAGGAGACAGGTCGAAACGAAATATTTAAATCACCTAATAAAACATACGATTAATTTTTAAAATTAGCGCTGATTAATAATTGAAATGAAATTGATATTCATGAGAAAATAGCCTTGTAATCAGTGCAATGTTATTATCATTGGATTATCATGTGATGTTTTAGCGCAGTTATAATAAGAGAAGCGTTTCTTATTATATCTCTCATATCGTTCTCATTATATCGTTTCTCATCTCTCAAAAAAGTTTTTCAATGTTCACTTTTGCACCATATTTTTACATCTAAAAATAGGTTCTTACTGCTTTCAAATGAGTAGGTTTTAAAACAATTGATTTCCATCAAATACCAAATATTTTTTAATATTTGGAAGCACGTGTGAATTGTATTGTAAATATAAGAAATCACTTATGCAGAAATTACAGTTATTGGTAACTTGTTGTTTTTAGTGAAATTTTAGGGTAAATTATCATATACGGATTATACTCAAACCAACTAATAAAAGTTTCAACCAGTTTTAAAATTAGGGATAATTGAAGCAATAATCGGAATGAAATTGATCATCCTGAGAAAAATTAAGTCTAGTATTTTGTGTTATGATCCCCGAATTATTTACATTTTAAGATATGTTAGAATATTTAGAAAATGACTTTTTTTGTTAAAATAAAATAAAATATCAAATTTCTACAAAATTCCCTTCCGTGTTAGGCTGGCTCACTTTTGAACCGATTGTCTTATATTCTGCCTACAGTTATAGAGATAGTTGTAGCCATTGAAAACAAAATTTCAAATATTTTTGTATTGGCGTTAGTAGCACATATTTGGAAGGATTAAATAAAATAAGAAATTTTTTTCTATAACTACGGTTATTCGGTCCTTGGTTCTCAGTAAAATGAGCCTACTATACAGTGCTTATGATGTTTAAGAACTTTTAGCATAATTTCAAAAGTGAAGATTTAACTTATTCTTTAACAGGAAAAAAGTAATTTGCTCAAGTTCAAAGTCAAAATTCTATCATAATTATCTGCCCTTTAAAAATTGACTTACTTTTGTCAGACAACTAGGTTTTCAGCACAATTGACTTTTACTGTTACACGTACTAATAGAAGTTAGATTGACAGAAAGCTTGATGATAATTTGATGTGCAATTAGAAAGTTAATTAAATTATTTATTATTTATCACGGGTTTTTTTTACATAATTTTTCTCTCTAGAAAAGTCCCCGCTTTTCCCTCCGTTAGAATGGACCACTCACTGGCGAAAGTGAGAGACGAAAGGCGAAAAGCTATAAAAAGTGATGTGATATTAGTCAGATTCAACATCAAACGGATTGTTCAAATACTGAGTTTTATTTTAATACAAACTTCCCATCATAAAAATGCTATTTAGTACGACGTGACGTTAAAAACGCGTTGTTAAAAATTTTTCATTTTGAGGCCTGTTTTTGATGAATGATGGACAACGTTAACACAATCGGTTTTGTAATTAAAAAGGACCAATTTCCTTTCTAGTATCATTTTCCCAAAAGTATTTTTTCAAGCGATGTTTT